ATATGTAAATACTATTATAAAAATGATATGCTGTGATAGAAAAATGAGTTGAAATTTTAATCTTTATTTAACACGATTTAAAGAATTTACAGTGGGAATTAAACTAACTATAATAGATACGAACATGTAACGCTACGAGCTTGAGCAGAATAAAAAAACCTTAAAACTGTTGTCACACGGGAGCAACAACCCACAACTATTTAGTTCGCCAACCGTGTATCCGCGGGTGTGTCAGATAATAGCTACAACTTCGATTTTATTTTTCTCTAGTATTGTAACCTTTTTTTTTTTTTATTTTTTTTTACAACAAACTACAGATTTTCTAAAATTCCTACTTGTTAAACACAAACATTTCCAATAACGCAAAACAAATCTCGTAACTCAATTCTACTTAATCATTTCAATAAAAACAAAATCAAGAATTTCAATACAATGACTATTCAGTGTAAAGACTTTGGACTCGAGGATTAACCTATCAGTCACATGTTAAAAAGCAACGTAAACTTCTCGATCTTTTTAACATTGGAACAAAATACACTAGACACATTCCTCCACCACTTACATCATATTACACTATCTTCTATTTACTCCAACTATTTTTAGTCACATATGAAAAATTTCAAGAAATTTACAAATCAACATATTCATTTTGTCAACTCCTAAATTTTTATCTTCTTTGTTTGAACTGTCGTATAAGATCAACGTCGAATTATGTCTATAAACAAAAATTATTACAACCGGTCAAAAGTTTCGAATCACCTGCTAATTTACGTCAATATTGAATTTGCTGCTAATTTTTTGCAGATTTGAAATCGATGTTGTGGAGATCGATAGCACTTTCCCTTTGTACGATGCTCGACTCGTGAACGAGACTGGTTTCAGTTCGAACTCGGTTAGTACCGTTGCGCTACCGATATGTTAATCCCGGAAGGGCGAAATTCTAGTAGTTGGTGTGGCGATGGTGAATAAGAGGTTTCTCTCCGTAAGAATATTTTTCAACTCGTTTATTTGTGGTGGTGCGTGGGTATATATTAGGTCGGTGTACGTTGTGATTGGTTGGACGTTGAAGGTGGTGGAACAGAAGGTCTCGAAGAATGCGGAGGTGTGATTGGATATTAGGAAACTAGTGGAAGGAGAACGTGAGGGTGAAGGTGGTGTGCAAAAGTTGAAATAATTTGGGAAAAACCCGGAAAGGGATAGGAAACACGACCAGGATGCGTCTTGAACTGTTTTATGATAGGGAAGGAATTTGTTAGGGGCTAGGAAGACGGCTGGAAAGGACTGTTTATTAGTTTATGATGTGTTACTGGCCGGTGGGCTGCGCGACCGGACACCCTTATTTCGATTTATTTGAACGAGGAAAAATTTGTTAAAAATTCTTTCTTAAAATTGCTAACTTTCTTCTGGAAATTTTTGTATTACTTGTAATGCACAGTGATTCCAAACATTTGGCCGGTAGCGTATGTTGTATGTAGAATTTCCAAAAAAGAGACAGTCGAAGAATTTGTTCACAGCTGTTTCATGATAATCAATATTACATAATTAACACGCGGTGAAATATCGACTGTCGATAAAAAATATTTTTGCCCCCTTTTCTAACGTGCACGTCGTTCG